AGGACATTCGGCCCCCCTGTGTAACAGACTGGAGGAGGGGGTGGGGGGTGCTGAATGGCCTCCTGTTCCTGTGTAACAGGCTGGAGGAGGGGGGCCAGAATGGCCTCCTGTTCCTGTGTAACAGGCTGGAGGAGGGGGGACTGAATGGCCTTTGGGAAGGAGAGCTTGGAAGAGTCAGGGCCGAGACAGGGACTGCCACGGGTGGGTTGGGGGGGTATTTACAGTCAACAACAAAGACACGTCCCCTTTAAGGCAGACATTTTGAAAACTCTTACCTTTCTCTTAACATCGAAGGCAACGCTGAAGAGGAGGGACCAGTAGAAGCCCAACTCTATCATGTAGTACCAGTACTGCGATGGCAGCATTGTCTGTACGAGCAGAAGACACACCGACAACTTCAACTGATGCTGCATTTCGATATCGCCTGCCACCATCTCCCCTCTCCCCACTTCACTGTCAACCAGGGACTCGCTTTGTTCGGGTTCTCTTGTTTTGGGGCGTTGGAGGGTGGGGTAGGAGGGGAGGGCGGTTTGATCGCTATGGTGGGGGTCAACGCCGACCTGCGCGCAGTAGGATCCCGCGGGCGGAGACCACGGAAGGAGAGCTCCGGGAAGCCCGGGCCCTTCCGGTCAGGAATCGAAAGCGAACGTTCGGCCCGCTCCGCCCGTGCTGACTCCCTTGGAAAGGCTTCGTCAATTTAGTCCCGCTCTCCTCCTCAACCCCCAACCGCACCACCCCCCCCCACCCCCCCACCCACCACCACCCCACGTAGAAATAAAACCTCGTCCACGTCCCAGTAAGTCTTCACCCCACGAGCCGGGTGAAGAGCAAAATTTATCGTAGAAACACAGACAGACACGAGACACACCAACCTGAATCGGAAATCCTTTCCAAGTTTCTCGCAAATCGTAAAACCAGGGTTTCTAAAATATACAGGAGGGAAAAAAACCCCAACAAAACACATTAAACACGACCAGCTTGAAATGCGGAAGACCGAGGTGAAAGATAAGCGTCAGGGGCAAGTTTTAGCTAGGCCCAGACTAGGCCCTGTTACCATGTCAACTGGGCCTACGGAAAAAGGCTTCACCTCGAAACCCAGGCCCACTGAGATCGCGCAGTGTGGAAGCAAAGGGGGTGGCCTCTTTTACCTCTCAGAAAATCCATTATTCCGAAGTGAAAGGGCAGCTGGCAGCCACGGAGAGACCAGGAAAGGACGCCAAGGCGGCCATTTTGGTAAGGCCTCATCCTTAGCCACCTTCCTCTCCGTCAGCTACATTGCTTCCGGCTTCGGAGTTAAACTGCAGGGGTTTCTTACGGTCTTTGCGAACTTCTTTCCCCCCCACGTCTAATCCCTAACACTGCAGAGCCTGTTCTTTATCGCCCAGTTGAAGATATTGACACTTTTCAAATGTTGACTCAACAGAGACAGTACAAACTCCCTGTCCTGGGAGTATTTGATGGAGGGGTGAGGGAGGCGGGAACAGTGTAGAGGGAGCTTTACTCTGTATCTAATCCCAACAGTGAGTCCCCCATTCACGTTCCTGACTGCTCGCTGCGTCTATCTCCTTGTCTTGGCCCAGATCCCTTTGCACATCCATGCTGTCCCCCTCCAACCCCACTCAAAGTACCCTTTAACCCCCCGGGCTTCACACGGAGCGGGGTAAGGTGATGTTTAGCCGAGCTCTCGGGCATCTGCCAAGTATTTGCCGTCTCACCTCTCTCAATCAGCCACTTGAAATTGTCCCTAAAACTCGGTCATTCTGCATTCAAATCCCTCACAGCCCAGGGTCATTTCGGAAGATTGCGGATAGTTGTAGAATAGCTTCACAGAAGCTGATATGCTGTTAGTTACATGGACAATCCCCCCCACCCCCAACTTCACCCTCAGGGCCAGCTCTTGCAGCGAACAGAGCCTCCGTCCCTCCTCCCGTTTACGTCTGTCAGCCCGGGCTCCCGGATTAGACCAGATTAACGGCCCCAATCAGGGGAAATCAGACTCCATGAGGACCCACTGCGCAGGCCTCGTTACGGTCCCTTCACTTCTGTCTTAGGAGGGAGACGCTAGGCCTGCACGCAGCGTCGTACAGACCCTTCGGTCCATCACCCCAAACTAAACTAGTCCCACCTGCCTGCTCCTGGCCCATATCCCTTTCCCATTCATGTACCTATCCAAATATCTTGTAAGCGTTGTAACTGTACCCACATCCACCACTTCCTCTGGAAGTTCACTCCACACACGAACCACCCTCTGTGTAAAAAAAATTTGCCCCTCGTGTCTTTTTTAAAATCGCTCCCCTCAAAAATGTCGCCTATATCGCCCACCCTAGGAAAATGTTCAGAAGAACAAGAGGCGTCTTCGCTGAAATTTACAAGATCCTCAAGGGGGAAATTGACAGGGGAGATGTGGGAAGGGTGTTTCCCCCCTTGTGTGGGAGAGTCTAGAACTGAAGGAGCACCATCTCAGAGTAAGGGGGTTGCTCATCGAAGACGGAGATGGGGGAAGAATTCCTTCTCTCTCCGAGGGGAGCGAATCTGAGGAATTCTTTACTACTATCGAGGCTGGGTCACTGAGGATATTCAAGGCCGAGATGCGGAGACTTTTAACTCAGGAAAGAAGGTAATTATATTAAGAGGGTAATTAAATTGCCCCTGGCCCATCCTATTAGTTATAGGAAATAAAAATGTTGGTCAATCTTTTCCCCGCAGGGTTATAGAACATGGAGCCCCTACAGTGTGGAAGCAGGCCATTCGGCCCATCGCGTCCACACCGACCCTCTGAAGAGCATCCCACCCAGACCCATGCCCCTTCCCTATCCCTGTAACCCTGCATTTCCCACAGCCAATCCACCCTAACCTGCACATCCCTGGGCACTACGGGGACAATT